AAATTGGTCTTTTTGTCATTAGGCCAGTGGTAGCTACCTTGAGCTCAGTACTGGGCGGAGGGCACAGACTCCTTATTGTAATATAACCCTTTAGTAAAAGTCAAACTTAACTATCTTGAAGGAAGTGGGGAGCCAGTGAAAGATTTTCAGTAGAAAGCCAGGTGCAGTGGCTCACACCTGTAATCCCAGCACTTTGGGAAGCCAAGGCAGGAGGCTCAGCTGAGGCCAGGAGTTCGGGACCAGTCTGGACAACACAGTGAGACCTCATGTCTACCAAAATTTTTTTAAAAATTAGCTGGGCATGGTGGTACAGTCCTAACTACTTGGGAGGCTGAGGCAGGAGGATCACTTGAGCCCAGGAGTTCCAGATTGCAGTGAGCTGTGATCACACCACTTCACTCCAGCCTGGGTGACAGAGAAAGACCCTATCTCTAAAATAATTTTTTTAAAAAAGACTTTCGGTAGAGGAGAAATACGGTAGACTTCATAGACTGGCCAACCCACCATCCATTCTCAATTTTTTTCTCTTGCCTACCTCTACCATAGAAGCTAGGAAAGGTAAAAACTCATCCCAAGACTCCCTTGCAATGAGGATGGCCATGCTGACACAGTTCTGGGCAGTGAAATATAAATCTACTTGGAAAAGCTTCTGGCAAAACTTTTGATTTCCGGATGAATACCTAGGGCTTGCTCCACCCCTTGCCATGTTGTGTTAAATCAAGCATGTTTAAAACTGTGCCAGCCATCCTGCAACCATGCGGGAAAGACCAAAATCACCCCAGGTAGGCCAGGTGCGGTGGCTCACGCCTGTAATCCTAGCACTCTGGGAGGCCGAGGCAGGTGGATTGCTCAAGGTCAGGAGTTTGAGACCAGCCTGAGCAAGAGCGAGACCCCGTCTCTACTAAAAAAATAGAAAGAAATGATCTGGACAACTAAAAATATATAGAAAAAATTAGCCGGGCATGGTGGTGCATGCCTGTAGTCCCAGCTACTAGGGAGGCTGAGGCAGGAAGATCGCTTGAGCCCAGGAGTTTGAGGTTGCTGTGAGCTAGGCTAATGCCACGGCACTCACTCTAGCCCAGGCAACAGAATGACACTCTGTCTCAAAAAAAAAAAAAAAAAAAACGATAAACGAAATCACACTAGATAACACAATGATGACATGATTGAGCTACTCAAGCAAAGCCTGCAGCCATCTCCAGATTTCTAGTTATACAAGATAATAAATCTATTTAAGTGATTCAAGTTGGGTTTTCTGTTGAGTCTGAATGGCTTTCTGACTAATAAAAAGTTATAAGAATAAATGTAAAAAAAGGAATAAATACGTTCTTCAGAATGGTCATTCCTAAATTATGTGATGGGTGAATTAAGAAGGGGCAAGAATGAAGGCAGGGAGACCTGTTAGGAAGCTATTATAGTACTCTAAGCAAGAAAAACAAGCCCTTGAACTAAGATAACTACAGTGGGAGAAGGAGAAAAGACAGGGCAAGTTGATGAAGAAAAATTTCAAATGTCTTCTAAGTTTCTAGTTTAAGCAACAAATGAATGGTTGAGCCATTGTCCAAAACACCTATGGTGAGAGATTGATAAATTCAATTTTGGACATACTCACTTTGAGATGCCTATGGGACAACAATGTGAAAATGGTGAAAAGGCAGGTGACTGGATCTTGAAGTCAAGAGTAACGTCTTGATTGGAGAAACTTGGATTTGAAAGTAATCATCATACAGAGTAGTGCTATCTAATGGAACTATAATGCAAGCCACATAAAATTCTAAAGTAAAAATAAGTGGATAAAGTTATTTTAATATTTTATTTAACCCAATATATATAAAATATTTCAACATATTGTCAATATAGTTATTAATATTAATCCAATAATTTGCATGTTAAGCCTTTAAAATCCAATGTGTATTTTATATTTAAACCATGTCTCAATTCCTCTGAATACTTTTTTCATCCTAAATACTTGATTTTATATAATTTTCACAAAACTCATAGGTGAAAATGTATACCCACATATCCATATTGTTCAAAACATAGTTATCATTTTCCTTTATTGTTCACATCCACACTGGAAAAAAATCCCATTCCTCTTTTTAAAATTGATTTGACTTAAGACCAAAAGCCTATCAGTTTCAAACCATTTGTCTAAGTAAATTCAATAAATCTTACATCAGCTCAGTATTGCTAACATTGAATTCAGAGTTACTGAGTATATCAAAAAGAACTCTAAATTTATCAGTAAAGTATTTTTTAAATTTTTTTGTAGTTTTTTTGCAGTAAATTTACATAACACTGTCAAATACAATTAAAATCTCATGCATATTGATTCATTAGAAAAATATGTAAAATTATTCTGATCTTTATTTTTAGAAGTTGTTTATGAACATGGACTCTAGTCTTTGTCTAGGTAGGGCACAATTAAGCTTTTTCCTATCCTTGGAGCTTCAAATTTAGATCATTCATATGCCATGCGATATTGGGGAGAAAAAAATCAAACTGCCATTTTTTGGTCTTTGATTATTAAACATTTGACTACCATTCCTGTTATTGCAAGAAAATCTTGAACTGGAGTTAACAGTAAAGTTTTGTAAAACTCTCTGACAGTCCCAGCAACTGGCAAAGTATACTAAATACATTGTCTTTTAATTCTTTCAACAATCCTGTAAGCTGGTATTGATTTGTACCATTTGCACTTAAATAATGAAGACTTAATTGTACCCATGACACTTGTTGTAGAGACCATTTCAGAAAGCTGAGCACAAAAATTTTCAAACTGTATCATACAGTAGAATGAAGAAATAAGAGAAAAATCAGGTTCATCTTACTTTTGACATAGGGTCTCACTCCGTTGCCTGGGCTAGAGTGCAGTGGCATCATCATAGCTTACCGCAACACTGAACTCCTAGGCTCAAGCAATCCTCCCACCTCAGCATACTGAGTAGCTGGGACTACAGGCACGCACCATCACAACCCACTAACTTTTCTATTTTTTGTAGAGACTTCTATTTTTTGTTGCCTAGGCTGTTGTGCAACTCCTGGCATCAAACCACCCTCCCACCTCAGCCTCCCAAAGTGCTAAGATTACAGGTGTGACCACCACATCCCACCAAGAAGTATCAGGTTCATTTTAAAATTCCAATGAAATCTGATTTTTGACCTAACCTAGTTGGAATGCCATTTAATGTGATAGAAAATATTTCATATGTAAAAAATGAAAAAATAGCTGCACAAGCTTGACATTTTAGGCCACGAACTGATATTATTTCTTCATGTTTAAGACCTATGAGACAAAACTTAATTAAAGTATTAATTGGGCAATATCTCTTATATTACATAACTCATCTAAAGCTACAGAAAAGTACTTGCCATTTTTCAGATTTATAATCAATTAATCTTTGATATTATTAGGTCCTCTTTCCTAAAAGCAACTGTTTGGTACTTAACTGATTTTTTTTTTTATTTCAGCATATCATGGGGGTACAAATGTTTAGGTTACATGTATTGCCCTTGCCCCACCCAAGTCAGAGCTTCAAGTGTGTTCATTAGGGGTGTATATACCCATCCCCTCCTCCCCCAGAGCTGCCCGACACCCGATGAATATTATTACTATATGTGCACTTAAGTGTTGATCAGTTAATACCAATTTGATAGTGAGTACACGTGGTGCTTGTTTTTCCATTCTTAGGATACTTCACTTAGTAGAATGGGCTCCAGTACTATCTAAGATAATACAAGAGGTGCTGTGTCACCGTTTTAACTGATTTTTTATAAAATATCTTTTTTAGGCTTTTACTCATAATTTTCTAACAATTTCTACAACTGATTTACCATTTATCTGTCTAAAATTAGTTCTCTTTCATACAAGAATCCAAGCTGTTTTATATCTGCCCAAATGTATAACCTCAGATCCTTTTAAAATTGTTAAAAAAATTTTTTTGTTAGATATTTTATTTGGATTTTAGGTGACTAAATTTCATTCTTTTTGACCATTGAAAGGTAATTTATCCAATTCATTTTGCATTTGCTGAAACTGTCTCAATATTTCCCATTTTAATATTTTTCTTAAATAACACCTTGTTCTGCTCTGCCACAATAAACTGCAATTGCCACTGTGAAATCTGCAACATACCTTCTTCCAGTCTTTTTATTATTCCAGTTGCACTAGCTTCTGCATTTCCACTTGATTCTTTTTCAGTATGCCTTCATTTTAAATTTAAAAATGTGTTCATTTTCATGTGTAAACTAGAAAAATAATTTAACCATAATTAAAATAAGTATTTCAATTACCAGTTACAATTTACATACATATCACTGTAATTCCTGTTGTCTGCATATTCAGATAAACAAGCTGTTACATCAATTCATAAAAAAAGTAATTTGCATTGAATCCATCTGTTGACATGGACTTAATCAGTGATTTATGTGTAATATTAGAAATGACACATTTTTTTTTGAGACACAGTCTCACTCTGTTGCCTGGGCTAGAGTGCCATGGTGTCAACCTAGCTCACTGAAACAACTCTTGGGCTGAAGCGATCTTCCTGCCTCAGCCTCCTGAGTAGCTGGGACTATAGGTGCACATGACACATGGCTAATTTTTCTATTTTTAGTAGAGATGGAGTCTCACTCTTGCTCAGGCTGGTCTCAAACTCCTGAACTCAAGGGATCCTCCTGCCTCAGCCTCCCAGAGCGTTAGGATTACAGGTGTGAGCCACGGTGCCCTGCCAACACAGGAGTTTTGATAGGCACACTACACCAACTGTATCTCATACAAGGTAACAAAGTAAAACATATTCCTAAAATACAGTAAAGTTAAACAGAGTATTTTATGGTTTGTTTTTATATTTAAATAAATTAAAATTTTACTTTCTTAGTCTTACTGAGCTGATTAGCCAATGTAGCTAGTGGCTACTGTACTAGATAGCACAAATATGGAAATGAGAAAGACAAGAGCCAAAAGGCTTACAGTTTTCATTCCATTTATTTTATTTGAAATAACCTCCAGAACTTAGGAACTTAGATCTGAGTCATGTTATTTTTTCGCATCCTTGAAGTAAAATAGTACAAAAGTGGAAATGGTTGGATGTTCTGTACAGAACTTCTTAGTATATTATGACCCATTCCAGCAGACATGGGCCAATCTCTAAAAAATTATAGTTCCCAAAACCAATCATCAATTTTATCTCTATAGAGAATACCTTTTAAACAGCAACAAGCTGATAAAAGTTTAAGTGGCTTCCCCCCTACAAAAAACCTCTATGTATATAAAGGATATGTGGTACACAATTTACAGATGATAAAAACATATATAATACTCTTTATTGTAAGTTCCATATAGCCAATTGATTCTCACAGAAGGCTTTTGTTGATTTCTGCCGAACTCTTGTGTCTGTAGCCAACCTATGGTTGCAATTTGACCAAGATTTTACAAATGGAGTTGCATCCCAATCTGCTAACTCTTTCCCCAATAAATTTATTGTCATTAAATCTGATATGTGATCTATTGTTAAACTATTTCTCACCCTTGTACAAATTATGTTCATTAAATTGAAACCTCTTTCAGCTTCAGCACTATTGATTGCAATAGTGCTAACTATCTTTTTAGCTTTTTGGATAGTTGTAGGAATTGAAACGTTGTTTGATTTTATATTATTATTTACAAATTCCCGAAAATCATTCAAATTGATTTCGTATTTTAAAATTTCACACAAATGAGATAATTTTTTTTCACCAGCTATCCATGGTGAAGTTATTTCTTCATAAGGCCACGTAGAAGGTTCTAGCAAATCAAAATAATTAAGAATACTTTCATCAACATGGTGTCTGTCAGATAAAAGGCGTAAGTTCATGTGCTGAATAATATTTTCTAGTAACATATTCCTAGGAAGAGCATTAAATTTATTATTTTTATTAAATGGAATATCTTTAAACTTATCTGACTTAATCAATTCTTCAATTTGAGATTCATATTTTCCAGTGCCAATTTTTAAATTTTCCAAAGCTTTAATGGTACGTTTGATCAATTTTTGTGCTTTCTGAATGTTAGTTGATCTTGACTGTAATGCAGTCGAAAGGAGTGAAAATTCTTCAAGAATGTCAATCATTAAAGCAAGGTCTCGTAAGAAATTAATGTTAGCTAATCTCTTTGCCAAACCAGAATAAGAATGAGAAAAATGCACATATAATGCAGGATATGCACGCCATACAGCAGTAGCAGCCTGCAAACTACATGCTGCCCATTTTGGTCCCATTACCCGACCAATTTTAATAATTTCAATTTCAAGTTCTTTAGCTACAGTTCCTAAAAGCTTGGTTTGATTTATATTAGGTTGATGATAAATAGAATAAATTTTATCAAGAAATATTTTAAAATGATTAATTTGTTTTATTTCAGATATTGAATCATCAAGTGACAATTGCAATCGATGGTTTAAACAGTTCCAAATGATGATTTCAGGAAAATATTCTAACAACTTTGTAGCTACTCCAGACTTTCTTCCCAGTATTGTATTAGCACCATCAGAACAAAATGCAATTAGATTTGCTTTCAAATATTCATTTGTAAAGCCACAATAATTTAAAGTAGTCAATAATGTATTGAAAATACACTCTGCTGTGGTTGACACCAATTCTTTTAAAGCAACAAATAACATAACAGGTGTAGGAGCTGACTGAACTGTGCACTGGAGATAAATCACTAGGGTGCTTTTTTTTTGAGAAACTGTAGATGCCTCATCAATTATGATACAGATTTTGGCATTCTCTTCTATAATATTCTTAAATATCTTCATCTTCATTTCTTTTGCAATATGTTCTGCTATTCTTGTTGCACTGTAGCGTGTATTTAAACAATTGACCTCTCCATTTTTTTCTTGTAATTCTATTGCCCCCTCAATATCGGATAAAGGTCTGTTATGTTTTACTAAACTGTAAACAGTATTAAAAACTTTTATGGTAGCATCAATATTTTTATTATTCTGTTTATGTACCAAATTAGAAATTGAATCATTAACTGATTCCTTTAACAAATCCTGAATTTTACCATGGGCTTTAGAAACATCATGTTCCCTAATTTTTTTTCGCAGAGAAGCTTGCCTAGTAGTTTTATTGCTACCATTAGGGGTTACTAAATATGCAATCCACTCCTTGGACACATGGACATGCTTTTCTGCTTTCGATCCCAAATGTCGAACTGTTGAACAATCCTTACATCCTAATTTACCTTCTTTTATTTCAAGCCATTTATACTGTTCTGTAAACATAAATGCTTGTTTTTCACTCCAACAATCTGGAAGCACAAGATTGTCTATTTCTTCTTTTAATGAACACAATGGCTTTTCTTCAATGATTGGTTGTTCAGAATTTGGTTCCTTTGATTTAGACAATCCACGATGATTTTTGTTCCTATTGTTACTTTCTGTTTCCATCTTCACCTTCTTCATATTTAAAAAATGTAAAAAATCACCCTGTCGTTTTGACATTTTAGAGAACGGAATCTGAAAAATAATTTTACAGATGTAAGTAAAATTCATGACAACACTTTAAGGGTTAATGTAAAAGTTCTCTTAATGATTTCTTTATATAATTTTAGAAATAAATTTTAAACTAAAATAGTTACCTTAATTTTCAATTTATACTTATAACTTCAATGTGACTTGCTGTTTCTTGAAAACCCCACTGTTTTAAAAATTTTATAGCCAATTAACAATGTCACAAAATCTGACTATGAATGATTATCATCCAATTCAGCAAAAAGATCGGTCATATGATCTGCAAATAAGTATACAGTTGTCTCTTGGTATCTAAGCCCCACCTCTAACAAAAATCTTTGGATATTCAAGTCCCTTATATAAAATAGCATAATTGCACATAACCTATGTATATCCTCCTGTACCCTTTAAATCATTTCTAGATTACTTGTAATACCTAATATAATATGAATGCCATAAAAATGGTTGTTAGAAAGTATTTTTTCATTTATATTTTTTACTGTTGTATTATTTTTTATTGTTTTTTTTCCCTGAATATTTTCGATCTGTGATTGATTGAATCCATGGATGCAGAACCCACAGATACGAAGGATCAACTGTAGTTCCAAATTAAAGGATGGGTGATATTTTCATTTACATTATTGAATTAGATGAAATTGAAACAATGAAGACATATATTAGAGTTCCACTTATTCATCAATGATGTCAACATCTTTGCTGAATTCATGAAGAAGAGTTTTCAAATACTGCAAGGCAATTTCCTCCATGTTTTGTATTGCATACAATCTAACACTTAGAGACACATCACACCTTGAGTTTAATCTGCATTACCATTTTATCCCTCACTTTCTTAAGTTCAGACAACCAACAAATAATAAATCAAGCCCTGATTTGTATTACGATGGGGTACATACAAACACCATGCTGCAGCAGCACACTATTATGTAGTATTTTTAACATACAGATATGACAGGTGAAAATAACCTCAAGTGCATAGATATTAGGAAATGAGTTTGAGTATTATCTTAAATGTAATGATAATTTATGTACTTATACATTTATATATTTTAATTTTTAATGATTGTTATGCTTATAATCAGCTCACAAAATTCCTGAAAATGTAACAATCAGTTCTTGCAACCCAGCTCAAGGCATCTCCAGCACACTACTGCACTTAATAATAGATCTGAAAAAACACAAACATGATGTGCTTACATCAGTATGATAGGTGCTAGGCTCTTCATCATCACCACAGACCAAATCAATATATTCAAGAACAGGTCTCGATGGTCCTTCCTAAAAAAGAAGTGAGCGAATTTACAAGTTATGAGCAATTGTTCAAATTAAACTTGCATTTAAAATCAGTGGGGTTTTTTGGTTGGAATTGATAAGGATTCCTCTGAAGAAATCTTGCAAGTGGCACAGAATAATTAAAAATAAAGGAGACAGAGGAAAAGATTCAGAGTATCTCAATATATAATAATGACAAAACACAAGAAGAGCCTAAATCTACATAGAGGAATAAAGCCATGTGTATTCCTCTGGGAAGAGGAAATAGTACAGAGATAGTATTAAAAAGATACAGATTTCATGATATAATATTTTTTTTTTTTTTTTTTTTTGAGACAGAGTC